TGGACCACAGAGATTTGTTGATATTTCTCAAGTTTCATATGGCTAATTTTGTTTGTGCTGAGAAATTAAATATTATCAGACCTGGTTATTACTTTGATGGGAGACCACAATGGGATATCAGGATTGTTAGCTAGACAAAGACAGAGAAACCTTGCCAGAATAAGGCAAAAGCAACCCAATTCCACACTGATGTCAAGAAAGCTATATAGATGTATCTTAGTGGTCAGTCTCAACTCAACTGTGACTGCACACATTATCATTGTTAGAACCACTCATAGCAGAAAACCCTATGCTTCACTTTCCCTTTCGCAGGCTTTTCTACTTTATTAATAGAATATGACACAGATGATCTAATTTTATAACATTATCTCCAGCATGGTGTGATGAAGAATGTTATGTATATTGTAAGAATCATTCGTGTACATAGAAAGGCATCCTTTTACTGAGTACTGATGCTTTTCCAAATGGAACATTATTCTGATGGTGCATTAATAACAAAAATAGGCTAATGTGAGGGTGTTTAATTAATACAAGTAAATAAATGATCAGAATATTGTCATGTTTTATTGCTTGCCAGCAATCGATTTTCTTACTCACTGAAAATTATACGTACGCCAGAGGTCAGGAAGCTGAATGAACAAAATACAAGACAATTCTTCCTGCCAAAGGGTTAGGCAAGGTGTGTTCAAAACAATTAGACCTAAACAATACTCTCCTTGGCATGGTTTCTTTGACAGCTATTGCAGATACCTAAAAGCAAAAGAATGAAATATGAATTAAATGAATCAATGAAAAAAAAATATGATTCTCATTGCTGGTAATACAGCATATCTAAGCTTCCTAATTGCACTCCCATCAGAGTTAAACTGGTTGCTTTTTTTACTGCAGTTGTCTAACTGAGGAAGGAAGGAAGGAAGGAAGGAAGGAAGGAAGGAAGGAAGGAAGGAAGGAGGGAGGGAGGGAGGGAGGGAGGGAGGGAGGGAGGGAGGGGTGAAATCCAGCAGGTTCTGACAGGTTCTGGAGAACTGTTAGTGGAAAATTTGAGCAGTTCAGAGAACTGGTAGCGGAAATTTTGAGTAGTTCAGAGAACCGGCAAATACCACCTCTGGCTGGTACCAGAGTGGGATTTGGAATGGAGATTTTGCAGTATCCTTCCCCTGGAGTGGGAAGGGAATGGGGATTTTGCAGTATCCTTCCCCTGCCACGCCCACCAAGCCATGCCCACAAAATTTTGAGCAATTCAGAGAACCGGTAGTGGAAATTTTGAGCAGTTCAGAAAACCGGTAGCGGAAATTATGAGTAGTTTGGTGAACTGGCAAATACCACCTCTGGCTGGCCCCAGAGTGGGGTGGGAATGGAGATTTTGCAATATCTTTCCCCCAGGAGTGGGGAGGGAATGGGGATTTTGCAGTATCCTTCCCCTGCCACGCCCATCAAGCCACCCCACGCCTACCAAGCCATGCCCACATAACCGGTAGTAAAAAAATTTGGATTTCACCACTGGAAGGAAGGAAATATTTTAAAACATGCAAGCCTTAGAATCCAGGTGCAAACAGAGTAAGAAGAAAATCCCCTGTGAAAGAACATTTATAACCATAATAAATGTATAAGCAAACCACATTTTCAGATACCTCCAAATTAGATTAGTTTTATGCACTGTTGTGTCTCTGATTGTTGCTGGATTATAGCTGCTACTGTCTTGTGCTATTGAGTTTTGATGGCTGGGAATAATGGGTGTATGCATCTTGAAAGCCAGAAGTTGGGTTTGCAAAATGGTAACCAGCAATTTCACTTGGACCTGGAAATAGGTTGGTAGCATTGACAGTTGAAAGAATGAAGTCATATGTCCCCATAATTGACAAACAGTAAGAGATTTCTTGAGTTGTTGGCTTGGTATTAGAATAGGATTTTCTCTTACCTGACTTAGTTCTCAGTCTTATCTGTCTATCATGTTATAATTTCATTGCAACTGAACACAACAGAGGGTTCCTTCATAGAAGACAATGAGGTTTAAATCCAGATAGAACTACCCAGAGGGCTGTGAGAAATATGTAGATGCATCTGGTTAAAACCTGGGAAGAAGCCTTTTGACCCTCCTGAATTAGAGATGTATGACTAAGAATTAATTTGACCCATGTTAACATCACATATTTTCAAAGGAATAGCCAGCAAAAAAATCTTTATTTATGGTTTGTGTTTTTCCCTACCTGCATAGCTTTTATATTTATATATATAAGAATCTTTCTCTCTGTGATATTATAGTGTATTATATGTTCTAATTATTTTTTGTGTACAACTTTTCCCTATTACATGATTTTGGATGCATCTGTTACAAAGAAGTCTGTATGTTCCTTACTGGGGTTGATTTGGTGGATCATATCATATTTCTCCCATTAAAGTCCATGGCAGATTTTTTCCCCATCTCTAGATTGAGTCATATGTTTAGCCTATTGTACTTTGGGCTTTTACTGTTGGAGCTCTACCACCTTCTAGCAGTAATTCTGGTCATTTGGTGGGGGCCAGAGTTTAAGTCCAACAAAAAAAACTCCCAAGCTCTGACTATAGTCTCAGCCTGACCTTGACAGTAGTATAAAAATGATTTTTAACTTTTTAAATTTATTTTAGATGTTGCCCAACTCCAATTGATTCTGGAAGTCTCACAGTATGAACAAGATGTATTATGTTTCTGCTAATGTGCTCATATGTTATTGTCCGCATTTGATCAGTTAACTATTCTAACTTATATATTCACACTCCATTCTGAGTTATAAAAACACACTGTAACTCTTTCCCTATATTGGAAGTGTATTTTCTGTTTTAGAGCACATGATGGGACTTCACATATTTCTTAAAATCTGCCAGTACAAACTATTTTTCTATGTGCTTCTCATTTAAAATGTAGCTTGTCTGCACTTGTGCTTGAAAATGTTGGAAGATACGGTGTCCTAAATCTTCAGGGGGGGGGGAAGGAGGTTAGCCTGTATTTCTTTGCAGTGTAATGCAAGACACAGTCTTTAGAGAGATTAGATTTATGTGCATTATACATTTAAAATGATGAAAGAAAGAATGGAAAATGAAAAACAAAGATTCTGTGGTAGGTTTTTTTTTTTTTTTGCAAAGAGTTGTTAGTACAAACAAGTTATCTCATTTTAGATTGGTTTTGTGAATCCTGACAATGTCTTAATTTTGAGGTTTTAAAAATATTAATATAAAATGTGTGAATTGTTTCAGTGCCATACAGTATCCCTGGATGTATTTTTTTCAGTGTCTTGCTGTAATTGCTATTTAAAACTGGCAGTCTTTGGTGACCCATAAAAGATTAGGGAAACAATAATAGAGGTAGTTTGGTGTAGAGATTGAGGGCTAGAAATCAGAAGATCATGAGTTTTAATTTTACTTTGGACACAAAGCCATCTGAGTAACTTTGGGCCAGTTACTCTCTCAGCCCAAGGAAGAAAGCAGTGGCAAAGCACTTCTAAAAAACTTGCCAAGAAAATTGCAGGGACTTATCCAGGTAGACTCCATAAGTCAAAAACTGACTTGTGTGAGCGTGTGCTGCAAAATACAGATTAATATAGTATTTCTCCTGACCTGAGCAATATAGGTGTGCCATATGTATTGACAATATATAAATGATCTCTGATGTGCTATGTGCTATGTTTTTTCATTCTACATTCTTAAAAAAAATATCTATACTGGTCTTTTGTGACTTTGTTCTTATTTTTCTTATTCTTGTTTTGAGCGTGTTATTGGAGTCAGTACAACCTTGAGGCAGGCTTCTGAGAATGAAAAACAGAATTACGAATGGCAATTTTTAAGAAGGCCAAAATATAAATTACAGTGGAGAAAGATGAAACATGCCAACTCTTGGACCAGGACCCAGCCTATAGTTACCTGGGATTTATTGCAGTAAAATTGTGCTTTCTATTAAAATGCTTGCTGAAAATCTCATTGTTCTTTTTCAAGTTGATTTCCCAAAGCAGTAACTAAACATTATGGATGCCATGCAACCAGTTCTTTCTATCATCTGGTAACATGCAGAAGCAGTCATAGCTGATTTTCTATTTTCAAAAGCACCAGTTGTGGACAAAAAAAAAAAAATCAGTGGGTAGCAGTTCATGTCATATAGTGTTTGGGTCCTACAGGCAGTGGCAAAGAGGAGAATTTGATGTGAGCTGCTCTTTCATATGCAGAATGTATAGGAAAAAGATCTAATCTCATAAAGAACTGTCCGTTGTCCTGAAGTTTGCTTGCTACATTTACAATGGATTTTTTTTAATTGTTATGGTTTGCTATCAGATAGAAGTCTGCTGGCTCTAATCATCCATCCATAATGGAAGCAAAGCAGAATTCTAATATATTTGCCTTGAGAATGGGAACTATATATATATTTATTTCTGAAACATCCATTGTTAATTAAACTACAAATACTAACAAAACCAAATCTGAGACAATAGATTTAGAAAAGCTAAATTAGAAAATCTCTGTTTGAATAAACCAAGGATTCAGATCCCTATTTCACTATTAATGTAATAGAACATTGAGATTTTCTGATGGTAAATATCTATAGGATTTGAAAGTGATAGTAATGAAACCTCTTCTTTGTGTGTCACAGAATTGTTGAGGTTGTTTAGTAAGGACATTACTTGGTTTCTTTGGTTTAGCTGTGATGATTTTCAATTTAGATCTAATGTGTTCTGTTTTCTTCCTGGGCTCAGTTTGTTTATTTAGTCGGTTTAGAATGAGATATATTGTAAATCCCTGATCTTGGACTTGGCAAGCCCTGAAAAGACAGTTACAGAAAAACTGAGGAGGGAATGTGTAAAAGCAGAAGATACAGATGCTAGAAAGAGCAACCATTAAATAAAAGTGATTGCATTAATTTGAAGCAATCATCTAATTATCTGGCTATGATTCAATTCACAGTTAAATCACTTAGCTCAATGGTCTCACCTCCTCCCACCTTTTAAAGCAATGTCTTATTTTGCTTCTCAAAACAGCACAGCTAAATACAGCGTGGTGACATTTCTACCTCGATTCCTGTATGAACAGATTAGAAAAGCTGCAAATGCTTTCTTCCTCTTCATTGCCTTACTGCAGGTATGTCTATATTGAAGTAAAACAACTGTATGCATAGCTTAATTTAATACAGTGGCAAGTGAACAGTCTGTGACTACCAACTCTTGTAGCATTGATGAAGTTGCACAACGCATAAGCATATACTTTAACCATGCATGATGAACTCAGTGTAGTCCAACAAATGTATGTAGATCATTTGTCCATTTTATGCTGAATCATAATGGTATTGCTAAATTGAATGTTAGCCTAGAAAATATAATGATAATGCTTTTAATCTATTGTTATACACAACGGGGCGGCACGATGGCTCAGCAGTTAAGACACAATGGCTTGTCAACTGGAAAGCCCGGGTTCGAGACCCGAGTGCCATGCAATGGGGTGAGGTTCTTCACCTCAGCTCCTGCCAACCTAGCAGTTTGAAAGTATGCAAATGTGAGCAGATAAATAGATAGTGCTTTGGCGGGAAGGTTGCTGCATTCTGTATTTTCATGCTGGCCACATGATGACAGAAGCATCTATCAGACAACACAGCTCTCCCTCAGCTGAGAATCAGAGGTGAGCACTACCCCCTTCATCCAGTTATGACTGCACAGGGGAAACCTTTAAACCTTTTATACTTGACAGTTATCAAAGCAGGAAATAGGAATCTTAACTAAAACCAGTCTTAACAAAAACCGCAAATATTGGAAATAGCAATCTTATTCAAAAGCAGACTCAGAATTTGGATTTTCCAATATAGGTTTGACGATTTAAACTGAAGCTCAGAATTGTATGGGTCAGAGAAAATAAAAAGACAGCAGTCATTTGATAGTAATCCCAGCCAATCAGGAATCACTCATTAACAAATAACAGGAGTCAATCTTGTACATTCTGATACTTTTTTACTACGTGTATTTCCTGATTTTGGGGCTTCAGTTGTTACTGAGTAGAATTCTTATCATTTCTAGGCTGGGATGGTGTGTGCTGCAGTTTAACAACAGGAAATTTGGTCAGGAACTAGAAAAAATTTGGTGTGAGTAGAGCTTTGAACCTCGATCATGCATAATCCAACGTAGTTACTTTATTTAGGCCCCATTATTATAGGCTAATGTCACTTCTTAGTATGGACAGGGTCAGTTAGAATATTTCTAAATATTCTATTTAGAATAGAATAAAATAGAATATAAAATATCCTGAATATTTTATAAATTTCTGCCCAAATGATTCTGTCAAGTCATATTTTTCCGACTTTGGATCCCTGGCAAGATAAATCAGCAGAGAAGGGATTGAAGTGCTGAAGCAACATAAAGTAAGACAAGAATAAATTTCTCAGTCATCTGCCCACTCTCAATTCCCCCTTCTGAAATTAAGAGATGACACTATTTTTATTTTGCAGTATATATTTTTACTTCCTCTTTCTTTGAATACTTTTCTAAATACACATATTTCTTTTTCAGCAAATTCCAGAGGTCTCTCCAACTGGAAGATATACTACCTTGGTGCCATTTCTATTTATTCTAACAGTTGCTGGCATCAAAGAAATAATAGAAGATTATGTGAGTATAAATTTAGATTTTGGAAGAAATGTCTGTCCCTTTGCAATATAGCAAGAAACATTCAGGTGTATAAAACTAATTTGCATGATTACTCAAGTCACTTTAATAGTAGCTCCATTTTGAGACAATGCGATACTGAAGATTAAAATTAAAAATAAGATTTTTAATAAAAAAAATAACAAAACAGCAAGATAAACTAGGAGTGTACTACCTTGAAGATTAGAAAATAATTACAGGTAGTCCTCAGCTTAGGACTGGTCACTTAGAAACTATTCAGAATTATGACCAACCTCCTTGGGGATAATATTGCAACATATGGAAAGGTTTACATGCTATAAAGAAAAGTTTTCTAATTTTAGGTATGAAATTGCATAAAGAAAAGTTTTCTAGAATTTTATGTATGAAATTCTGCTATGCTATGCAGAAATGGAATGAAAGGAAGTTCTTCCATCGTTTGTACTAATTGCTTTAATGCTAGGTTAGCCAAAATGCTGTGAAGATATTACTGAAGATATTCAGCATATTAGACATTCAGTATATCAGAATATCAAATATTACTGAAATAAAATTCCCATCAACCAGAGTTGATTATATTGGTTTGGATTGATGGGAATTGGGATTTTATCTAAACCATCTGGAAGGTTATAGATTACCATTTCATACCATTTCAACGGCATTGGTCGCGTTGGTTGATGATCTCTGGAGGGCTCGGGACAGGGGTTGCTCCTCTGTTCTGGTCCTGTTAGATCTCTCAGCGGCTTTTGATACCATCGACCATGGTATCATGCTGCACCGGCTGGAAGAGTTGGGGGTGGGAGGCACCGTGTTGTGGTGGTTCTCCTCTTTTCTCTCCGACCGGTCGCAGTTTGTGTTGGCAGGGGGGCAGAGGTCGACCTCAAGGCCTCTCATCTGTGGAGTGCCACAGGGATCGGTCCTCTCGCCCCTTCTGTTCAACATTTATGTGAAGCCGCTGGGCGAGATCATCCGTGGCTTCGGGGTGAGATACCACCAGTACACTGATGACACCCAGCTGTACATCTCCACCCCTGACTATTGGGGGCGAGTCTTTGGCCCACACAGAAAGGGCTCGCAATCTGGGAGTCCTCCTGGATATGCAGCTGTCCTTGGAGGAACATCTGACGGCTATAACCAGGGGGACCTTTTGTCAGGTTCGCCTGATTCGCCAGTTGCGGCCCTTTCTTGATTGGGATTCCCTGTGCACAGTCACTCACGCCCTCGTCACCTCTCGCCTTGACTACTGCAACGCTCTCTACATGGGGCTCCCCTTGAAGAGCACCCGGAGGCTCCAACTGGTCCAGAATGCAGCAGCGCGGGTAGTGATGGGAGCAGCATGGCGCTCCCATGTAACACCGCTCCTACACGAGCTGCACTGGCTCCGGGTGGTCTTCCGGGTGCGCTTCGAGGTGTTGGTCATCACCTTTAAAGCGCTTCATGGCATAGGGCCTAGCTATCTTCGAGACCGCCTGCTGCTACCGATGACCTCCCATCGACCCGTGCGCTCCCACAGAGAGGGCCTCCTCAGGGTGCCATCAGCCAAACAATGTAGGCTGGTGACCCCCAGGGGGAGGGCCTTCTCTGTGGGGGCACCTACCCTCTGGAATCAGTTGCCCCCAGAGATAAGGAGAATCCAAGACCTCAGCGCCTTTCGCCGTGCCCTTAAAACCCATTTTTTCCAGCAAGCCGGGCTGGCTTAAGAAGAAATTTTAAATGTTTTAATTGGTTTGTGATTTTTAATTTTTGGGCCAAATTTATATATATTTTAATTGTTTTTTAATATTTGTATTTCATGTTCTTAATTCTGGCTGTACACCGCCCTGAGTCCTCAGGGAGAAGGGCGGTATATAAATTGGAAATAAAATAAAATAAAAATAAATAAAATGCCCTATTGTGTGACTCAGAAGATGATTCAACAGAGAAGATGATCCATGCATTTTTCATGGAAAAGGTTCTCAGGGTGATCCTCAACATTATCATGTAGCTAAAACAACAAATAGTAGTTGATATGAAAAACTTCATTATAAAAGATACTACCGAGATAATACCAGTCAGAGCAGACAGTATGGGACTAAGTAAATTAATTAAAAAATCGGTCTGAGTAAAAAACCTAATGCTGCTGAACTGTATAAGTCTATAAACTGTCTAAATGAGTGAATACCTAGGAATCAGTATTAAGCAATGGGACGGTGGGGAGGTGGAAACAGACATTTAATAAGAAATACATTCCTTGAACATACAACTGTATGACTGCATAAAAGATATTGGTGAAAAATCCAGTATTACTCATTCTTTGAAATTTCTTGATAAATTGGTATATGTCAGTTGAGCAGGTTCTTCTCTGTATATATTCCCTCGATTTGGGGAATCATATAGACATGATTCAAAGTAGGAAGGAGAGTAAAGGGAAGTAGGAGAAGGGAAGGGAAAGAGAAGGAAGGGAAGGGAAGAGGGAGAAAGCAAAAATCTCTGCAGGTATTATTGCTTTTCCTAATTAGTGTTTGCTAATCACTGCATACAGGAATTAAAAAGTGCTCCATCTTGAACTATAAGTGATCCTCAAATTATGACCACAACTGACACTTATCAACACTTCTGTTGATAAGTGAGATAGTTGTTAAGTGAATTTGTCCTACTTTATGATCTTTCTTAGCACAGTTGTTAAGTGAATCCTTGCAGTTGTTAAGTTAATAACACAGTTCTTAAGTAAATCTGGCTTCCCCGTCGATTATGCTTGTCGGAAGGTCACAAAAGGTGATCACATGATCTCAGGACAGTGCAACCGTCATAAATATGAGTCAGTTGCCAAGCGGTTGAATGTGGATCATGTGACTGTGAGGATGCTGCGACGGTTGTTAAGTGTGAAAAATAGTCATCAATCGCTTTCTTCAGTGCCGTTGTAACTTTGAATGGTCACTAAATGAACTGTTGTAAGTCAAGGACTACCTGTAGAAAGATTCATACTAATGCATAGGAGAGAATAGCTTATTTATTTGTTTATATCTGCCTTTTTTATTTTTATAAATAACCCAAAGTGGCTAACACACACAATACTCCTTCTTCCTCTTATTTTTCCCCACAACAACAACTCTATGTGGTGTTTGGGCTGAATGAGATTGACTGACTGTAGCTCGTTTTCATACCTAAGATGGGAGTCTCCTGGCTTTTAGCCTGGTGTCTTAAGTACTAACCAAACTGGCTTCCCTATTCCCTATTAACACATACTGGAAACTCTAATGAAGCTTCTATGTTTTGTCTTAATCTTTCTGTCTTTCATTCAGTTTACCCTTGAATATACCTAAATGTATGTATGTTTGTTTTTATTTCTCAACAGAAAAGACACAAAGCTGACAGTACAGTGAACAGAAAGAAAACAATAGGTAAAGCCTTTTCAGTTTCTCTCATACAAATTATACGGTAGGAAGAGTTATAGCCTCCTTAGAGGAATAATTATATTTGGTTTTATTAATGTTTTGTTTTACAGCTAACTGTGAATAATGTGATGCCCAAGTTTAAGAATTGGGAGAAAGCTCCTAATTCTATAAACGGGAATAGCTTGCCCTGAGAGTTCTATCTCTTGCCTTCTTACTGTGAACATTAAGGGCTGCTAATTTTCATTAAGTGACTTTTATTATAAATTATGTAAGTATTTGTCATATCATGCTTTGATTTGTTTTAATAATGTTTTGCCTTTGCCCTGTAGCTATGTTGTTCTGAATTGTTTGCTGTACCTTTTAAGGTAATAGCTACAGTAATTCAGTTCTAAATAAATGAATGTGAGAAACAATTTATCGCTAGTCAGTGATTAATATCGCTAGTTTCATAATTTCATATTGTACCCTTCTGTCTAATTCATGTGGGTAGAAATAACATCAGTTGGGTTGAAGCATTTAATGACAACAGGGCACTGTGCTTATCTGGAAATTATTGCTGAATTTAATGTCATAGACCGGCTTTATTAAGTTTCCAAGAAAGATAAAATATAAAGTAATGAAAACAGAAAAGATGAAAAAAGGAGGGGGAGGAGATCAAAGGAGGAAGAAGTTAAAAAGTAGCAAAAATAAAAGAGGGAATAAAAAGGAAAATTGACTTCTGACTTTCTTTAGTACACATACAAATAATCTTACTTTAAATTAAAACAAAACTAAACATAAACAATATACAAACTTAATAAAAAAAAACCTAAAACTATATAGCAATATAACCGCCTATCCTGAGATTAAACATAATCCTTAACAATGTACAATATATGTATCTTGTAAAACACAATATTTGTACAATCATAACAAATCTAATGATCAAACCCTAAACCCAAAATTTCATTTTTATCTTTCTCAAGCAAGAAGTCCAAAAGTGGTCCCCATATAGTAAGAAAGCTAGGTAAACTTCTATCTTTTATCAAAGTAGTCAATTTTGCCATCGGCGCTAGTGCCATTAATTTCACTATCCACTCTTCATTTATGGGAATCTGCGTATTGAATTTAGTGACATAGAATGCCACTTTCTAAGTAATTTCAGTTATTCAGATCAATTCTCTTAAGTGGTTTTTAACATGGCAATCTGTGTCTAAGACAGCAGTAATAATTACAATATTGTTGCAGGCTGCAATTGTTTAATTAAGATACACAACGTTAACAATGAAGGTTTGAGGATACAAAAATTGGTCCACTCACGAACTACAGTCTCAATTTGTAGGGAGAAACTGGGTAGCATTTTTTAAAGTTCAAATTAACCACAGAAAAGGGCACAATACATTAGCTACTTCAACAATAATGGAATAACAAAGACTGTTTTCTGACTCATAGGCGGCTCTTGATTCTGCCAATCAGAAATCAATATGCAGCAATGCCATTTTCTTGCCTTAATGCATGTTTTGTGGAAAGAAAGAATACAAAAGGAAAACAGTTATGGTAAAACACAAGAGGAAAATCCTTCATAAAATTTTGCGAAGGAGCTTTGATTGCCAATGAAAGATTTATCCAGAAGTATCTTAAGAATGCTGCCTTGTCCTTCACTGCCAGCTCAATGAAGAAGAGACAGCCCTGGAAATGGGTCTGTTGGTAGCATATGGTGAAGTTCCTGAGTTCACGTTGGGTAAGCTGGAGTTCTGATTATAAGCAACCCACATAAACTTATTTAAACTATCTCAAACATCAGGAAGGCATCATTGAATTGCCCAACTAAGATAGATGGACAAAGATAGTTTTCAGGTCCATTGAGCATTTTGAAAAGAATCAAGTTAGGGCTCAGTTAACCTTCTCCCTCTACCCCGGTCCTTCTGAGTTCTTGTCTTATGTTAACTTCTGATTTTAAAGGGGAAAAAATTACATTTTTCTTTCCCTTTCCCAGTTTTAAGAAATGGAACATGGGAGGATATCATGTGGAAGAAGGTAAGAACTATTTTTAAGATGTTCTGGGAATTTGCAAATCTTTGATGGGATGTTAAGTGATGTTGATCTTCTTGGGTATTTACAGCTAGGCATTGTGAATCTTATTTGAATATTTTTCCCATTGTGTATTCATTACCATTGTCAGTCTCAAGAAAAGCTTATTTGTATATATGTATATCCCTTTGAATAATGTAGATGTACAATACATAGCTCCTTGTCTGTGGCAGTATGGAGAAGATGACATCAAACTTCTAAATGGCATCTATTATTTCTTTCTGACTATCTCCAGAATCTCATGTACAATTAGTGATTTTATTCTCTGAGTAGGGAAGATAATACTATCCATAAACAAAATGAGATTTTGGAAACTCATACAATTTTAGAACAACACTATGTCCCCTTGCCCAAAATCTGTATTTACTTAGCTGGAATTAAATTAATAGAACTGGGAGAAAGGAAAGGAAAGGAAAGGAAAGGAAAGGAAAAAGGAAAGGAAAGGAAGGAAAGGAAAGGAAAGGAAAGAAGGAAGTATAAGTATCAAGTAGTATAAAGGCTCTTAACCAACTTTTAGTTGCTTGTTATTCGCAGCTCAAGCATCCATAAGGTATACAAGGAAGATATAAAAGAAAACCAATGCAGGTGCTTATTTGATTTTAAGTTTTACCTCTGGATATTGAATATAGATTATAGAATAACTGAATTGGATGGGACCTTGGAGGTCTTCTAGTCCAACCCCCTGCTTAGGCAGGAAACCCTACATCACTTCAGACAAATGGTTATCCAACATCTTCTTAAAAACTTCCAGTGCTGGAGCATTTACAACTTCTGGAGACAAGTTGTTCCACTGATTAATTGTTCTAACTATCAGGAAATTTCTCCTGAGTTCTAGATTGCTTCTCTCCTTGATTAGTTTCCACCCGTTGCTTCTTGTCCTACCCTCAGGTACTTTGGAAAATAGCTTGACTCCCTCTTTTTTGTGGCAGTCCCTGAGATATTGGAACACTGCTATCATGTCTCCCCTAGTCCTTCTTTTCATTAAACTAGACATACCCAGTTCCTGCAACCGTTCTTCATATGTTTTAGCCTCCAGTCCCCTAATCATCTTTGTTGCTCTTCTCTGCACTCTTTCTAGAGTCTCAACATCTTTTTTACATCATAAAGGAAAGGAAAGGAAAGGAAAGGAAAGGAAAGGAAAGGAAAGGAAAGGAAAGGAAAGGAAAGGAAAGGAAAGGAAAGAAGACCTCTAAAACAGGTCTCATAGGGCTGTGTTACATGCATTGGACATAAAATGTTGGCACAGGGAGGAAGAAAACAAAATGAGGAATGGAATTACAGATCCTGGAACAAGCAATGATTGTCTGGCTATAATTGTGCATATGAGTGCATCAAAGTACATTTTGATGCAGATCAGATTTATAGGCTTTAAATCTTCATTCTGGTAAGCAATTAATAATGCATGTCTTAAATCTTTTGAGGAAGAGAGCCAGTAAACCAATTCGTGAAATTAACTGTATAAGGTAACACCAAGAAAGTATGTCTCCTGAAAGGGAGGGAAGGGTGATACGAAACGATCAGAACGAACACAACGATCGAAACGATCACAACGAACTTTCAGCTCGTGGACCATTCTAATTTTTGAATCTGGAAATGAAAGGAATTTAAAACAGGCCACTTAGAAAAGGCAATATTTTTTTCAGTTGGAAAAATCCTGCCAGTTGTGGCTGCCATTGTAGAAAGAGATTGGTAAAGACCACTATAAATAAAATTCAACAAGAAGCAATACTTGATGTACCTTAGATAACTAAGGAAAAAATATCAACACCTCAGAGGAAATTGAATTTTGAAAGTGTAAAATTATCTTCTATAGTTTTATAATAAAAAAAAATTAAAAAATGCAATGAGATTATTGTTTCCAAGTGAAATCCATATATGACTACGCTGGTCAAATTAGTATAATGTGTAAACCTGGGTTTATGCTAATTAAACCTATTCAGAATTGCAGCTTGATGGACTGAGGTTTGTTGTAATTGGGAAGTGTGGAACACAATTATGTCCTTCTGAACATGCAACCATGGAGGTGCAAGGAGTCAGATCACCAAGAAAAGGTAGACAGAGGTAATTCAGAATTCAGGAGATGCTGCCAGAAAAACTAACACTCAATATATTTAGCAAAAGATGCCAAGAACAATAAAAAGTGCTTCTTCATACATCTTCTAATAAAAGGAGAGGGGGAGAAACAATATACCATATAAACCAGGGGTCCCCAACTTCTGATCTGCAGACTGGTAGTGGTCTGCAGCCTGTCAGGAATCGAGTCGTGTAAGCGAGTGAAGCCCCATCCATGCATGCATGGTATCCAGGCACCATGCGAAACCATGTGGCCCCTGGTCTGAGGGCCCCCCCCTGGTCTGAGGGGGCACTTCATAGAACCTGTTCCCGATATAAACAATTATGGAAGAAATAGTACTCAAGGAGTCATCATGGAGAGTGCCACAACACCACCAGGACTGGCAGGGCAAGCCACTATATAATAAATAGCCAACAATTCCCATTCTTCATTGCATTGATGATGTTACCTAGCTTGGTAATGAAACATCTGCAAGAAAACAACCAAGCTTAGATGGCTCAAGAACCCAACGGGACAGCCCTGAGCTACATACATTTTCTTCTACTGATATAAGAAAAAAAATGGTGACTGTTAACAACAAAAAGGTAGAACTACTCAACTCCTTAACCTGGCAGTTTTCTCTATGAAGGGGGTAAGTGTTTGCCAGCCTTACCCAGATAGGAAACACTACCGGATGAGCTAATTCTACTTTATTGTAAAGTTACATTAATAGAATCTTGCAAGTCTAAAAGTACAAATCCCCCACTGTCTTTTTTTACAGCCTGATCAGTTAGAGAGGATCCTTCCTGAGTTGTGGTTTTTTAAAATCTGCTTATTATGCAGCTGTGGGCTCCCCACTCCCAAATATCTGATTGGCTCTCAAGGCAGCATCTCTTCCCCAGCAAGTTTCATTCAAGTTCAGTTCTTTATTTCTTATACCTAATGGATAGAATATTGACAAATTAAAGCTATAACTTTCTAAGCTACTAGATATATGAAGAGATTCTAGGGTAGCGATCGGCAACCTTAAACACTCAAAGAGCCACAAAGGTCCTAACCAGTAGCCCCCATTCAATTCTGGAGCCAACTGGAAGTCCGGTTCCCCCAGCATAGAATCTCCTCCTAGCAGGTTGTCCTTTTTCCTCTACCTGTCCTAACCGAAAGCCCTATCAATTGTGGAGCCGACTGGTGACAGGGAGCCGCAGCAGAGGGATGAATAGCCACATTTGGCTCCAGAGCCGCGAGTTGCTAACCCCTGTTTTAGGGTATGGTAATTCTCAACCTCTTCATCTTTCCAACTTGGGACTGTGCAGTCTCTTAAGCTAGGCCTCTCTCTTGGAAAGCTCTTCCCTACTGCTTCTGCAGGTGTCCATTTCATCACCTGGGGTGACAAGTACACAAGCCATCATTCTTCTTTAAGTACATCATTGTACCTGATTCACATTAATGGGAGTCTGCGCTTGCATATTGTACCTCTGTTGGATCATTCTTGAGCTAAACTTTTGGCAGGAACCATTGCCTGTATCTTTTCCAGTGTTTTGTTTTCCTGGCAGTTCCTCACAATAGTTTCCTTGAATTTATTATTGATTGGATTTCTTACCTGCTCTAGTCTTGAAACACTTGGCAGTTTGGAGTAATGAAGACATCGAAATAAAATGTCCATGGTGAAAAATAAAAACTCATTAAATCACAAATCCATAATTACAATCCCCTTGGGTGACATGCACCACTCTAGGATCTCCAAATCAACTCCTGTTTTAATAGTTTCCGGAAGACCATACCGAGGATAGAGACCTCACTTTAAGCAGGAAGCTGTTCAGAAGTGTAGGAACTATACTATCTAATTACAACTTAATGGTAGTGTTAAATGTCATTAAAAAGCAAAACCCTCTATGGAATGTACTTAGGGGAAATGAGGAACTGTCTATATTTTTTCCAGGACAAATGAACCAGACAGATTGATTTTAGTTGAAGAACATTTTGGCGATACTTTGGCACCAAGTCATATAATGCTTTATAGATAATCACAAGGTCCTTACACACAAAAGTGGGGAAAGGCATTGGTGCAGTATTTTTATGGTTGCTCATGCAGCCAGTAAAGGAACTGCTGCACTCTGAACTAATTGAAGCTTCCTGGTGATTTTCAAGGGCTTCCATTTGGACAATGACCCATTCCATTCAAGAACTGAACAATGCCTGATGCTTAACAGACTTGATGATCCTCAAAGATAAGAACCTAGCTTATTGCAGACAAAACATAAGGTATAAATGCACAGAAGATCTTCTTGATGTAGATTGCATAAATAAACCTCTATCAACCCCAGGATTTGAATCAGAATTTTTCTGATCAGTGGACTCCTGGCTATTGTTTTTTCCTAGCTTGAGATTGGAGTGCACCTGCTCTATATTTACACAGCAGTTCTGTGTGATTGAACAGTACTGTTTCCTGCCTCACTACTTTCATTCTTTCCTACTTTCTGTCATTCTTTCCTACTTTTTGTGGAAATGCAATTTGCCAACTTCACTAATGGCCTATGAGGATTTATGACGTAAGCTCTCTACACCACATACATCTCTAAACATATAGATAACCTTTATCAGGCTCAAGAGTAAGACTGCTTTCTTTATAAATACTTCCAAATTAAAGTATATTAAAGCAGAACTTGGTTTAGTAGATGAAATATATCAACACATATTGATGGCTTATAATATAAAGTGTTGGTTGCCTCTGCTTTATATATATGATTAAGTTCCTGAGCTTTTTCTCAGAATTTAGAGCTAGGGCTGAACATTTGTTATTTAAAGAGGACAATCTTTTGGTTTACAGATTGACAGAGCACCAACAGTTTGCAATACATCTCTCCATATTGAATTGAATACTTCACAGTGTATA